AGAACTGAACGGGTTCTGATGAGAACAGTGTAAGCGTTCAAGCAAACCACTTCTGAAGATGCAAGCCACTCGTGCTTGCGAAACGTCAGGAATACATTCTCGTCGTTCGGTAGAATTCCTTTTTGACGTTTCGCAACTGGTTTGGCCATAAAGAATTTTTGAAAAACCGGCGGTAAATTTATTCGCAAAAGCTAATGCAAGTCTCACTTGGAGAAACTCTCAAAATTCATCGAACAAACCCAAGGAAACCAAACTTTTCGAAAGTAGGGAGCGAAGTTTTCTTCATTTACTGGCGTAAAATGCGTCCTTCAATCTCGACTGGTTTGGTGAAAAACAAAAGCCCCAAACGATAGAGAAATCAAATTTTGAGTTGCGAAACGTTAAAAAGAAATTCTACACAACGACTGCTTAAAAACCCATTAGTGTTATAAATAATCGTTGCAGGCATGGGGCGTGCGGACTATAACGATGGTCGATAACTCAACAGTATCATTTTCCAACCCTGTGAGGCAAAGTCTTTTCACTTACGAAGACTCGGTGAAAATGAGGCCGAAAGCAGAAGCGGCCGCGGATCGCTTAAAGGAGATTTTTCCTGGAGTGGTAAGTTGAGCGACTAACATCCAACTCAGAGGGCCAATATTGCCGTTTATAGAAATCCAAGGGAGTACAGCTAACGATACCAATGCCCGGACATACTGTGAGTGAGAGCACTGTGGAACAAACGACGAAAAGTGTGGCTGTTTTGACCGATTTGATCAAAGAGAGTGATGTGGTGTTCCTCCTAATGGACTCCAGGGAAAGTCGCTGGTTGCCAGCGATGCTCGGAAGTTTTTATAACAAGGTAGCCGCGTGTTCACTTTACAGCGCAATGCTTCTGGAGTTTGAAGGCTTTCACGGCCGGTTAAATCACATTTAGGAATGTTTTCCGGGCTTTGAAGACGGCTAATCCAGCAGTTGAACCAGTCTTAGTCGGAAAGCACGGGAGATCACTTTGCCCACTGCCTCATCGCCTTTGATAATGTCCAGCGCAGTTGTGGACGAAACGTCCGGAAGAAATTCCCATGGACCACGGCTTCAAAGCCCGGAAAACATTCCTAAATGTGCTTCTTGAGTTGTTTCTAATTATTTCCAGATTGTGATCAACGCGGCGCTGGGCTTCGACAGTTATTTAGTAATGCGGCATGGGGCCCAAGCAGGAAACGCTTCTTCGGACGCCAGCCCAAAGGAACTGAAGGGATTTCAGTTTATCGAGGGGCGTAATTTGGGATGTTACTTTTGCAATGATGTCACCGCCCCAGGCGATGTAAGTGATGAATAGTGGCAACATTTTGGCATTTTACGGCCCACTTTTCACAGTCGGTGAAGAACAGAACGTTGGATCAACAGTGCACAGTGACAAGGCCTGGGATAGCGCAGATTGCTGGCGCTTTAGCTGTGGAGTTAGCTGTGTCGCTTTTGCAGCATAGCGACGGGTATGTTTGGTTCAGCGCATTGAATGAACTGCTACCCCACATAGCAGAATGATATTCCCAGAATATACCTGGAACATTCATGTGATGTACATGCATATTCCTGGGACATACATGAGTTACATTATGAACATTCCATGCATGT